TATATTTATATATTTTATATATATTTATATAAAATCAACCTAAATATGATAGTAAATAAAATTTTATTTCTATCATTTTTAGTTATATTTTTATTTGGGTTATCAAGATTTACCCCAGTAACACCCCAATTAAATCTTAGTTCTTCACTTTGCATTCCAGGTACTAAAATAAACTATAAATTATTAACTAAAAATAGAACTTTTTTAAAAAGTAAATATTGGATAATAAATATTAACCTTAATTTTTTTTATAGATATTCCAAACTCAACTCCAACTTATATTTGGAATCCAAAAGTTGGAAATATATCCATTGTTGATGTCAATTCTAAAGGTGTTATTGCTAATAATAATTGTGCTGGATCTGTTGTCATTGTTCAAGAACCAGACCAAATTGTTTTTTCATCATCTCAAGTAGAGGTCGAAGTTGGTAAAAAATTAGTACTCTCAACTAAATTATTATCAAAGCATTTACCAAAAGGAGTTTATTTCGAATCTTGCTCAATTAATAATTTAGAATGGAAAGTTAAAGATGATTCCATTTTCAAAATTTTACCACATGAAAAGGTTGACCAACAAAAGATATCAAGTGACATATGTTCATCTCGTGAATTTTTGGCTCTAAAAGAAGGCTCAACTGTTATTTCAGTTCAATACAATGGAATTAGAGAAGAAATTCGTATTTTTGCTTCTCCACCAGCTGATCAAATGGAAGTTTTATTAAGTTTAGATTCATCTGCCGAGGTTTCTTTCTGTGGTGGTAAAGAGACATGGCATTTAGAACCAAAGATTTATTCCAAAACTTTCTCATCAGATAATAAAGAACAAAACTCACTCTCAATCACTCCAGGTGATAATAATTCATTCAAAGTCACTTGTCAAAAACAATCAAATGATCCACAAAATGTTATTGTGACTATTAGAAACAAAAAGAGTATTAGCAGCCCATTACCAGAAGCCCATTCAATTAAAATTCCATTCTTTTGCCGTCAACCATCATATGTTAATATTCAATTTATAAAATTACCAAATGAAGAAGAAGGTAAACAAATTATTCAATCATCGAATCCAATACATCAAGATTCTATTTTATCATTGAAAAAACAAAAATCAGGTGAAATCAGTCGTTTAAATATTCATAATAATAGTGATTTACCAATTATTGCTATGAATTCTATTGCTAAATATGTAAAAGGTAGTACCAATTATCCAATTATAGTTGCAGGTTCCATCTTTATTGCCGCCTTTGTTATTGGTCTTTATGTATATAAAATCAACCTAAATATGATAGTAAATAAAATTTTATTTCTATCATTTTTAGTTATATTTTTATTTTTTTTATCAAGATTTACCCCAGAAACACGCCAATTAAATCCAAGTTCTTCACTTTGCATTTCAGGTACTATAAATTATTAACTTAAAATAGAACTTTTTTAAAAAGTAAATATTGAATAATAAATATTAACCTTAATTTTTTTTATAGATATTCCAAACTCAACTTATATTTGGTCATCAAGTAATCCAAAAGTTGGAAATACATCCATTGTTGATGTCAATTCTAAAGGTGCTATTGGTAATAATAATTTTGCTAGATCTGTTGTCAATGTTCAAGAACCAGACCAAATTGTTTTTTCGTCATCTCAAGTAGAGGTCGAAGTTGGTAAAAAATTAGTACTCTCAACTAAATTATTATCAAAGCATTTACCAAAAGGAGTTTATTTCGAATCTTGCTCAATTAATAATTTAGAATGGAAAGTTAAAGATGATTCCATTTTCAAAATTTTACCACATGAAAAGGTTGACCAACAAAAGATATCAAGTGACATATGTTCATCTCGTGAATTTTTGGCTCTAAAAGAAGGCTCAACTGTTATTTCAGTTCAATACAATGGAATGAGAGAAGAAATTCGTATTTTTGCTTCTCCACCAGCTGATCAAATAGAATTTTTATTAAGTTTAGGTTCATCGGCCGAGGTTTCTTTCTGTGGTGGTAAAGAGACATGGCATTTACAACCAAAGATTTATTCCAAATTTATTTCATCAGATAATAAAGAACAAAACTCACTCTCAATCACTCCAGGTGATAATAATTCATTCAAAGTCACTTGTCAAAAACAATCAAATGATCCACAAAATGTTATTGTGACTATTAGAAACAAAAAGAGTATTAGCAGCCCATTACCAGAAGCCCGTTCAATTAAAATTCCATTCTTTTGCCGTCAACCATCATATGTTCATATTCAATTTATAAAATTACCAACTGAAGAAGAAGGTAAACAAATTATACAATCATCGAATCCAATACATCATAATAATAGTGATTTACCATTTACTGCAATGAATTCTATTGCTAAATATGTAAAAGGTAGTACCAATTATCCAATTATAGTTGCAGGTTCCATCTTTATTGCCACCTTTGCTATTGGTCTTTATGTATATAAAATAAAGTTTTTTATATATCAAATTCTTTATTAGAATCATTCCGATCTCCATTTCCATACTCTTCTTTAGTATCACCAAATAATTCACAATTTAGTATTTATTTATAAAAAATTAAAAAAAAAAAAAAAAAAGAATTTAAATATAAATAAACAATATTTTATTTGATTATAATAAAGAAAAATAAAATATTTAATTAAAAAAAAAAAATTTATTTATCTTGGCATATTTGTATATTTTTTAATGTTATTAAAATAGAACTATTTTATTTATTTAATTTTTTGATCGTAGTACTTTGTTGTTTAATTAATATTTTATTTAAGACTGCTGGTGATATTATTAGGTTCAATTTTCGTTGTAGTCTCTAATTGGATATAAATTTTACTTTTTAATATTATTACTTTTAATATGTTTTCCTGCAACAGAGTGACTAATTACTATTACTTTAGTGTTTATTAAGCTTTTAATAGTGATTGAAATATTATGATTATCTTCAGTTTTTATCAATTATCGTTATCACAGTAGGGGAATAATACCTGATTTAATTACTCTCTTATTTTATTTTCATATATGCTGTCTTTTCAAAAGTATACCCCAATTTTTAGCAAATATCAACACGTTATGGCCATTTTAAATTTTTAAAATTATATTTATTTTAAAAAATCGATATTTTTTAAAAAAAAAAAAAAATTTTATTTTTTTTTTTAATTTTTTTTTTTATTTTATTTTTTTCGATCACAACAAACAAACAAACACATAAATAATTTTAATAATGTAAACTATAGCACATCCAATAAATAATAATAATTATAACATTACTGAAATATGTTTTAAACCTTTTGAGAACAAGTAAGTAAATCAATACATTATTTTAAAACAACAACAACAACAACAAACCCTTATATATATAGAAAATGGCATCGCTGTAGGAATAGAAACAGAATTACTAATATAAATTAAAATAACTTTTCAAAAGACAGATTTAACAATTAAAACATGCCATTCAATACTCCAACAGGATCTGCTGTCGTCGATATTATGAATGAAAGGATTTTAATCAATTATATAAAGATTTGGTCTAATAATTCCAACCACGAAATATTGCTTCTATATTATAATAATCCCAAAACTAATATCAAATATTATCATAAAAAGTCACAAAGTCGCAGAAACTCAAATTCTTTCAAAGTCTTTCAATCTCGAGTAAATCAGATAAAGCAAAATTCAAATCAATTACAAGTTCATGTAGAAATTCAAAAGCGTTAATGGATGTACCGTTCAGCTTTTATAGACGCTAGTGCACAGTTATCATGTATGAAAAAAACATTGGCAAAAAAAAGATAAAACTTAGATCCAACTATAGCACATCCAATAAATAATAATAATTTTAGCATTACCGAAAATATGTTTAAAACCTTTCGAGAACAAGTAAGTAAATTAATACTTTATTTTAAAACAACAACAACAACAAACCCATATACATATAGAAAATGGCATCGTGAATAGAAAACAGAAACAGAATTATTAACATTAATTAAAATAACTTTTCAAAAGACAGATTTACCATTAAAACCATTCAATACCCCAACAGTATCTGCTGTCGTCGATATTATGAATGAAAGGATTAAAATCAATTATATAAAGATTTGGCCTAATAAATCCAACCACGAAATATTACTTCTATATTATAATAATCCCAAAACTAATATCAATACCTATCGTAAAAAGTCCAAAGTCTTTGCAGAAACTCAAATTCTTTCAAAGTCTTTCAATCTCCTTCTACTCTTTATCGAAAATCAGATAAAGCAAAATTCAAATCGGATAAAGCAAAGTTCAAATCAATTACAAGTTCATGTACAAATTCAAAAAGTGTTAATGGATGAACGTTCAGCTCTTATAGACACTAGTGCACGGTTATCATGTATGAAAAAAACATTGGCAAAATAAAAGATTAAACTTAGATCCAACTAAATACTAAACATTAATGAAGATATTCAATATAATCAACTATTTATATCAATCTCAATACATTTGCCTTGGCCCAAACAACAGTGATAAGCGAAAGTTGGAGTTACTTTAAAGAATTTGTTTATTGTATAAGTTTAATTCAACTTAATTCACAAGTGCCTAGATCTTAATGTAAAGAAGACAATACAATGATCCACAGCAAATTGGTATTGCTTTAGTATTATGCTTCATCCTTCTACTGGCACTTCTCACCATTTTTTCACTTTATAAATGCAAACTTATAATCAGACTTACCAAGTATTAGAACTGTTCAAGTTTATAGAGTTTATTTATTCATTGTAGAAATGAAAATTAAAATCTATGCAGATTTCAACTTATGATCGTATTATATCTTTAATTAAATCAAAATAAATAAATCAAGCTAACCACCACAATTTAATAATGTAGATGGTGTCTTAATATCTAAAAGTTAATATTAGAATATGGCCATATTCTTTTCAGTATTAGGTTCTCAAGCATCATCAAAACAGGTTTTTAGAAATCCAAATAATGAAGCCATAACATGTATTGATATTACCGGTTCATCAAATCAACAGGTATAATAGCAAGTAACTCTTCAGACTGGAAAGACTCTTCAGACGCATCAGAGGACTCTTCAAGAGGCACATCAGATAGCAGTTCATCATCAACTATCAGTTCATCAGATAGCAAATCATCATCAGCTAGTGATTCATCAGATAGTAGCTCTTCATCAATTAGCAGTTCATCATCAGATGGTAGTTCATCAGATAGTAGTTCTTCATCAGATAGTAGTTTTTCATCAAATGGTAGTTCATCAGATAGCAGCTCTTCATCAACTAGCAGTTCATCATCAGATAGTAGTTCATCAGATTGCGATTCAACAAGCAGTTCATCAGATAGCAGTTCATCAACAAGCAGTTCATTAGATAGTGGCTCATCAGCCAGCAGTTTATCAGATAGCAGCTCTTCATCAACAAGCAGTTCTTCATCAGCTAGTTCATCAGATAGAAGTTCATCATCGGCTAGCGGTTCAGACAGTATGTGCTGTAGGTTGTGCTGCTGCAGGTTGTGCTACTGCAGGTGGTGAAGGTGGCACAGGTGGTGCTACTGCGGGTGGCACAGGTGACACATCAACAAGTGGATCAACCAGCATATCAACAGGTATAATAGCAGGTAACTCTTCAGACTGGAAATACTCTTCAGATGCATTAGAGGACTCTTCAAGAGGTTCATCAGATAGCAGTTCATCATCAACTATCGAAGAGGAGATAAGACAAAGAATGGAAGAAAAGTTTAATCTTTTAAAAGAACAAACAAATCTTCAACTTTTAAAATTTAGTACCCTCAAAGAATCACTCTTAAGAGATCTCAAAAATAGATGTAAATAGGTTATTGATGTAGAATTTATTTAGGACGAATATCAAGATCGTAATGCTAAACTCACTGACCATTTGAGGAGTTCCAATAAACCAGGTGGAAATGATCAATAGACAATGTTAATTCAAACAAAGTCTGACGAAATGACAACATTTAAACACCAATTAAATAATGAAAATACTAAAAGGAAAAAAAAATGGTTTGACCATCATCAATTTAAAAATAAAAAGAAAATAAAATAAAATTAAATAAAATTTTTTTTTATTTTTTTTTTTATTTTTTTTTTCACAGATAAAATATAAATATAATTACTCGAATCAGTTTAAGGTAATATATATAAATATAATTTATTTTAGAGTAAATTTAACAGCATCTTCTATGACGACCAATATCAATATCAATATTAATAATGTTCCTGTTACCACCACTGCATGGATTAAAACATGGATTGAAACCACATGAACTGCCACCTATGCTATTACCGAGCCAAACCGATTCATTATCAGAGAATGAGACACTTCCAGATGAGCTTAGAATTGATTTAGATGAGGTACCGTTAACTGGGCTCATTAATGAAAGAGATTCTATGAAAAATTAAAAAAATAAATTAAAAACAAATAAAAAAAAATAAAAGTTAATATTTATATATTTAAATATAAATTATAGTATTATAATAATAATATTTACTAATAATTGACATTTTGTAATATAGTATTTATCTTTTTAATATATAGTTTGTTTTAATTGAAATGAAAATTAAATTTTTTTATTTTTTTTTATAAATTGGTAAATTTGTGAAAGATAATTCACCCAAAGAAATAACTTACAACAACAACTTTATTTTATAAAGATTATTTTATTTTATTTTATTTTTTTTAATTTAATTTTACTTACATTCCATAATTGGTAATATTATTAAAATATTTACTAATAATTGACATTTTAATATATATTACTTTTATTTTTTTAATAAAAAATTTAATTGTATTAAATTATGAATAAAAAAAAATTTTTTTTATGTTAATCTAAATTTATGAAATGATTTTTTAATTCAAAATGGTTATATAAAATTAAATCAACATACATTTATAAATTAATTTAAAAATTAAATAAAAAAAATAAATTTTACATAATTTTTAAAAAAACCCAAAACAAAAAAAGAATGTTATAGAAATAATTAAATATATAAAATATTAATAACTTAAAAGTTTTTTAAATTTTAAAATTTAAATATTTTTAATGTAAATTCTTTATTTAAAATATTTAAAATATTTTTATATAATTTATTTTATAAAATATAGATGATTATTTTAAAATTCATAAAGTAATATAATGAACTCTGTGATAATAATTATATTGAACTGAAATTTTTTATTAATTTTTTATTAATTTTTATTTTTTTTGTAATAACAATTTAAAAAGAAAAAAATAATAAAATTAAAAAAAAAAAAGAAAATATACAACCCCTTTTAGAATATTTAATTAAAATAAATAACAATAACTTTTTTTTTATTTTTTTTTTCCTTTCGTTTGTGTACATATGAGGTTCCTTTTAATAATTCTTGAATTAAATGCGCACCAACCACCATGGAAGCTGAAATATAAAAGCTAAAATTGGAAAACAACCAAGACTCTATTCAACCCGAGTGTGTGATGGAAATTTAATTTCATTTATCTAATTTCTTTGATGATGATCTATACCAAAGGGAATGGCTCTGTGTAGCCTTCATCGGTGTCATAATGAACAAAGTTTTCATCGGTATCATAATGGATGTCATCATATTCTTCATGGAACTCTTGATTACTTGTTGGGTTTCTTTTAATTTTTGAAACAATGGAAAAAATTAAAGCTAATAAATAGGTTATAATTTTTGAAATAAAGCCTATTATTTTTTGAATCATTTTGAATTATATAATGTAGTTATTATTTTAAAAAAATTTATTATTTTTATTGAAGTTATTATTATTAAAATTTTATAAATAATTAAAAAAAAAAAAATATCAATAATAATAAAAAAAAATAAATTAAAAATTTAAATTATGTGTCAATAGGGGTATCAAAATTTAAAAAAAATAAAAATTAAAAAATAAAAATTAAAAATTAAAAAACTAATGGGGGTGGCGAACTTAGAAAAAAAAGTGTCATTGAAAGGGGTGGCCTTTTTTTTTCTTGATTTTTTTATTTTTTAAAAAATAAAAAAAACTTTTTTTAAAAAAAAAAAATTTAAGGAGAACATTTTTTTCTATTTATTATTTATTTAAAATATTTAAGTGATTGAGTATTAAATGATTTTGGTTAACTTTTTATGTAATTTTTATTTATTTTAATTTTTATTTATTTTTTTTAAGCAATTAGTTGTGGATTATTTGTATTGTCTTCTTTACAATAAAATCTAGGCACTTGTGAATTAAGTTGAATGAAACTTATATTTTTATTTTTATTTAGTTTATAATAAAATAATGTTTATGGTGGTGCAGTATTATTTTTAGAAAATAAAATAATTAAAAAAAAAAATTAAAAAAAATTAATTTTAAAATTTTTTTTTTTTTAATATATTTATCATTATTAATTAAATGTACTTTTATAATAATAATAATTACTTTTATATATTCAACAAAAAAATTTTAAAAAAAAGGATCTGTCAGTATAGGTTAATCTAGAAAATATTTCAAAAACATGGGTACAAGGTATAATTTTAGACAAAGTTAAAATGATGCTTTCAGAGTTTAAATATATATATATATATAATTATAAATAATAATAGAATAATAAATAATAATGATAATAAATTACAATAATTGGCTTTTTATTTTATACAATTATCACCACAGTAACAGCAACTTAAAGTCAATTTATTCACCAAATTTCACAAGATGGAAAAAATTTACCATATGGTTTTTAAAAAATAAAAAAAAATAAAAATTTATTTTATTAAAAAATTTAAAAAAGTTTAAAATTAAAGATCTTTATTTTGATAATGAATAGAAAATTAACTAGGGATGGGGAATTTTTAATTCTATATATTATATTAATAAATGATAAAAATTGATGATGAAGGTTGACCCAGATCTGTAACCAAATGAAAAAAAAAAAAAGAAAAGAAAAATGTTACTATAGTAACATTTATATGTAAAAAATTATTATTGTACTTAATAAAACGGATGAAAGTATTAATTGTTATATAATCTATATCCATTATTTTTGTTATTTGTTTTATTATTATAATCATTATATGAATATGATTTATTATAATCATTATTTAAATGATAGTCAATATCATTATTGTTATTATTATTTTTTGTTTTAATTATTATTATCCATTATTATTATTATTATTATTTATATTATTGATATTATGGTTTTTCAACACGGTCCATTTCCATGTTATCGATTTTATTATAATCCTTATCTAATTCTATAATATGGTTATTAACACTATATATATAAAACCTTTATCAACTGATTATTGATACTAATATGTATATTATTAAATATGTCTCTGAATGATGAATATTATGTGTTGAAAGAATTCAAATCTTATAAATTTTAAAATTAAATATTAGTTTCTTTTATTTTCAAATATAATAATAATTATATTAATATAAACTTTATAAATACCTTTAAAGCAGAAATACCCCAATGAATGATGAATGACCTGAAAACCACAATTTATTTGATAAAGTAAACCCCAATGAATAATGGGTGACTATAAAAAACACCCCAATGCTTAATAAATGATTTAAAAAACCCAATTTAAAAAGAATAAACCAAACCCCCAATGTATAATGAACGATTTTAAAAAACCACAGCGTTTGATGAATTAAAAAACCCACAATGTATAATGAATTAAAAACCACAGCGTTTGATGAATTAAAAACCCACAATGTTTAACGAATTAAAAACCACAGCGTTTGAATAACTTTATAAACCCACAATGTATGATGAAAGATTTGAAAAACTACCCCAATGTATGATGAACGATTTGAAAAAACCACAGCATTTGATAAATTAATAAACCCACAATGTATGATGAAATATTTGAAAAACAACCCCAATGTTTAATGAATGGCTCGAAAACGACATTTAAAAAGAAAATTATGATCCCCAATGTTTGATGAATGACTTGAAAACTCCATTGTATGATGAATAGCTTGAAAACCCCAATTAATTAATAGAAGATATTGAATCCCAAATGTTAGATTAATGATCTGAAAACCCCGAATAAAAAGAAAATATTGAACCCCAAAAGTTTGATGAGTGACCTGAAAAAAACCCCAGTGTTTGATGAATTACTTGAAAACTACAATTATAAAGAACATACTGAACCGCGATATAATGGAATATATGGAACCCCCAATGTATGAATAATTACACGAAATAAATAACGTATTGAACCTGAAAAAGAAAGAATTGAATCTGAACTAAATAAGTATTAAAATTAGATATTAGTTTCTTTTATATTCGAATTTAATAATAATTATGTAAATATTAACATTATAGTTACCTTAATATTATGATTATCCCAATGTAGACTTAGATAGAACTTGTGAAGCTTGAAAGAGAATGAATTAAACTAAATATGAATTAAATATTAGTATATTTATATTCAAATTTAATTTATGCAGTTATAAACACTATAGTTACCTTAATTATACAAATGCCCTATTATTGACATTAAAGATAGAACATGGTTATACTGAAGAGAAAAAACCTGATAATCCCGTGAGAGAGAAAGAATTATATATACAATTTAAGAGAAAGAATTATAAATTAACTATATAAGAATTAAAAATAAATATTAGTTTCTTATTTTTAAATAATAATTATGTAATTATAAACACTATAGTTACCTTAATTAAATAAATGCCTTATTAGAATTGACATTATATAAAGAACATGATAATAATGTGAGAGAAAGAATTATAATTATATAATAATTAAAATTAAATATTAGTTTCTTTTATATTTAAATATAATAATTATGTAATATAAACACTATAGTTACCTGAATGCCCTATTACTGGCATTAAAGAAAGAACATTGTTATACTGGAGAGAAACAACCTGATAATACCGAAAGAGAAAGGATTATAATTATACTATATAAAAATTAAAATAAAATATTAGTTTCATTTATATTTAATAATATTTTAGTAATTATTAATATTATAGTTACAATATTAGGGAGAACTTATTATTTAAACCTTGAGAACTTTTTAAACGTAATTTTGTAGAGTTGAAGCTATGAATTGTTTAATATTAATAGTGTTGATAACGATTAGAATGTTGTCCAATGATGATGTTTGCAGTTTAACCTTTTTGATTTCTTAATTAATACGTTTCCATATGGATGGTATATTATTGATTTATGTCCATGTAATCATAGAATTCGTGGCCAGCTAATTCTTGATACATATTCATGAAATCTAATAATTACCATTTGAAACGGTAATGGAAATCTAATCGATAACCATTGGGTCAAACAATTCCATACCGATATTGGATTCGTTGGAATTTGCATCATCATTATTTAAAAGTGGTGGACTTTGATCACCTTGCTCTAAGTTGGCTTAGTTTGTTGAACCATTGACTCTCTACAATTAAATAATAATTTAAATTAATATATATGTTTTATTATATATGTATAAAAATGAATGTATTAATTACTTACTCTTACTAAAAAGAATGGAGCTCTGCAATTTGGACATGTGTTATCACGACGATAAGACAATTCCATAATACAATCGAAACAAAAAATGTGGTTACAATCGATTGCAGCAAGTTGGCTTGGTTCAATTGTGTCCATACAAATAGTGCAAGGATCTTGGTTTTCTCTACGTTCTGCTTCTTCTCTTTCTTGTTGTTCTCTTTGTTGTTGTTCCCTTTCTTGATTTTCTCTTTCCTCTCTTTCTTGTTGTTCTCTTAATTGTTGTTCTTTTTCTCTTTCTTCTCTTTCTTCTCTTTCTAATCTTTCTCTTTCTAATCTTTCTCTTTCTAAGTTTTCTAAACGTACCCTTTCCATTGCTCTTTCTAATGTTTCTTTTAAAATTGTTTGGGTACGTTCTAATTGTTCTCTTTCTTTTTTTTCTCTTTCTTTTTGTTCTTTTTCTATTTTTTCTCTTTCTTTTTTTTCTCTTAATTTTCTTTTCTTTTCCTTTGCTTCTTCAATTTCTTTTTCAAGTCTTTCTTTTATTAATCTTTGTTTTTCCAAAGATTCTCTATATTCTCTTTCTTTTCTTTCTTTTTCTAATTTTTCAATACGTTCTTGGGTTTCTCTATTTAATTGTTCCATATCTTCCTTTTCTTTTTGTTGTTCATTTTCTATTTTATCTTTTTCCATTCTTTCTCTGGTGTGGTCGAATGGTGAATATGGAAATAGATTTTCTGTTTGTGATGGTTCCTTTGGGGCATGGATTTTTTCAAGAAATTGCTTTGGGGAATGACTTAAAATTTCTTGAGTTACTGAGGAACGACCAGAATTATCTCGATTATTATAATATTCGGAACAACAATATAAGCTTCTATATGCGGAATAATGGAATGTTGAGGTACTATCATATTTGTTTTTTTCTTGTGGGGATTGATCGATTGGGGTAGAATTTGTGGTTTCTTTAATTTTGTGGTTGTTGGAGTGGGTGTGGTTATTGGTGTGGGTGTGGCTATTGGTTTGGATGTGGCTATTGGTTTGGGTGTGGCTATTGGTTTGGGTGTGCCCCCTCGGTTTGGGTGTGGCTATTGGTTTGGGTTTCTTGTGGGGTGGAACGGAAAATAATTTTTAAAATTATTATTGACCAAATAAAAATAGCAAATAAAATTGATTCTAGCATTTTTTTAACTAATGAGTGAAAATAAAAAAATGAAAGTTATTATGGAATGTGAAATATAATTGCTATTATTTAAAACTTTTTTTTTGATATTATATATTATGTGAAACTATATAGAAATAAATTTTAATTTTTTTTAATTAAAATTTTAATTTTTTTTTAATTAAAATTTTAATTTTTTTTTTTTTGTGTGGGTTTGTAAAAAAAAAAAAATTAAAAAAAAAGGTTGTTATTTTAACTTT